AACTCCTCTCCACGTCTGATGCTCGTTTTCTGCTTGGGTTGTGTGCTATTTTGCTGTTGAGTTTTGAGAGCTCTTTGCGTATCTTAGATACCAGTTCTTTGTTGGGTAATAAGTGTTTGCAGGTATTTTCTCCCACTCTGTAACTTGTCTTTTCATCCTCGTAACAGCGTCTTTTGCAGAACAAAAGTTTTTACTTTTGATGAGGTGCCATTTATCAGTTTTCATCTATGGATTGTGCTTTTGGTGTCAAGTCTGAGAAGTCTTTGCTTAACCCTAGATCCCCAAGACTTTCTCCTGAAAGTGTTAGCTTTTCGTTTGAGACCACGGTCCATTTTGAGTTAGTTTTTGTATAAGATGTGAGATTAGGTGGGGTGCATTTAGTTGCTTATGGATGTTCAGTTTATGGAAAAGGCTGATTTCCTCCACTGAATTGTCAAAAATCAGTTGAACATACTTGGGAGGGTCTGTTTCTGGGTTCTCTGTGGTGTCCTATTGATCTGCGAACGTGTGCCTCCACCAATACCACAAAGTCTTGATTAATGAGCTACATAAGAAGCTTTGAAACTGGACAGACTGATACCTCCCACTTTATTCTTCTTTTTCAAAATTGTTTTAGCTATACTAGTTCCTTTGCCTTTCCATATAAATGTTAGAATTATCTTATATCTACAAAAAGGCCTGCTGGGATTCTGATAGGAATTGCATCAAATCTATTCATCATTTTACTATGGTGAGTTTTCTCATCCATGAACATGGTACATCTCTCTTTGATTTCTTTGATCATTTCAGTTTACAAGTCCTGTATATGTTTTGTTAGATTTGTAGCTAAAAACAAAAAAAAGAAAACAAACTCACTGTTGTCGAGTTGATTTGACTCACAGCGACCCCTCCTTGGGTTTCTGAGGCTGTATCTCTATGGAAGTAGATTGCCCAACCTTCCTTCCGAGGAGTGTCTGGTGGGTTTGAACCGCCAGCCTTCTGGTTAGCAGTCAAATGCCTTAGGCACTATGCCACTGGAGCTCCCACCAGACCTAACTAGTTTTTTTTTTTTAAAAAAAAGCGATCATAAATGGCGTTGCATTTTTAATGCTGGTGTCCACCTTCTGTGTTCCTTACTAGTCTGTAGAAATACAATTGATTTTTGTATGTTTATCTTGTATCCTGTAACCTTGCTGGACTCCTCATTGGCTCTGGGAGTTCTGCCTTTTTCTCAGTCCTGTTTATTTAGTATCTCCTGTGTGCCTGGTGTTAAGCAGAGGCTCTCTGTATACTTGCCAGTGGTGAGAAAGCCAGTGCGTGGTAGAGCCAGGGTTCTCTGACGGGTAATTTGTCTATTCAGCTCATTTGTCTGTTTGACAGATATTTAAGGAAAGCCCATAATAAGTTCAAAAATAAGACAAAACTGAACTCAACTGCCATCAAGTTGATTCTGACTCATAGCGACCCCTGTTGGGCTTCCGAGGCTGTAAATCTTTACGGACGTATACTTGCCTCATCTTCCTTCCATGGAGCAGCTGGTGGGTTTGAACTGCTGCTCTCTGGTTAGCAGCCAAACGTCTTGTGCACTATGCCACCAGAGCTCCTTAATTGCAGTTAATGCATTCAGCTTGTGCTGTGAGCGGGCGAAGCAAGGACTCCTTAGCCCGTTGACAGTGGGGTGGGGTTGTCTGGAAAGGCTTCTGGAAGCAACAGTAGTCTTCCCAGGGAAGGTTTCCCGAGCCTAACTGATTACTCATTCCATCAATGTCCACCAGCTTTTGAAATTCAGAGACGTCTGTGATAAAAACGCATATGAAGAGAATTTGAACGTTACTAGGCAAAGAGCCCAAGAACTCTGACCAGAATTGGATACGGTTCCCCACCTGCCTCAGAGCCTTCGTCTCCTTCACTGCTACTGAATGAGCTCCCCCTCCCCTGCCCCCCTCGCCCACGATTCCCACTGAGGCCCCAGGACTCCACGATGTCCCTGTGCAGGCAGCTCTGTTGGCCCTTGCCTGCCTTAGCCCGTGGCCACACTTGGTGCCGTGGTCTCGCCCTCCTTCCATTTTGACTCCTAACAGTAGTCTTCCTCCTCTTTCTGGCTGCTCTTCTCCTTGCTCTCGGGAAGCTGGGTTTCAGGGTCGTTTGGGGTGGAAAGGTGATCCCCTCAAGTAGCGGATGCAGGGACAGCTCTCGGGAGCCCACAGAGAACATCATCGCAGTCACTAAGCTTGTGTAGCAGTGACTACAGTAAGCCTCTGGTTAGTTGGGAAGTAAAATGTGACTGTAGAAGTTGTCCCTCGGACAACTCTGTGGGCAGAGCCTCCTCTGTCCGTGGGGAAGGGAGGACAGCCGCGTGGAGCTCCGTGTGGGCTGAGACCACGGCACTCTGGGCGGCGTGTCCAGTCCCGTGGGCTGTGGGTTGAGATCCTTCTCTCCACGTTTCCTCACGAACGGCAGGAGAAATCTCTGGTCTACGAGTCAGCCTGGAAGAAAGAGAAGGACGTTGTCTCCAAGGAGATTGAGAAGCTCCGCACATCCATCCAGACGCTGTGCAAGAGCGCGCTGCCCCTGGGCAAGGTCATGGACTACATCCAGGAGGACGTGGACGCCATGCAGAATGAGCTGCAGCTTTGGCTCAGCGAGAGCAGGCAACACGCTGAGGCCCTGCACAGGGAGCAGAGGTC